TACCACGAAGATCCCCAGTAAAACCCCCCCTCCCCCCTCCCAATGCCTGCGAGGCAGATGAATTCTAGTTAACATTCTATCTGCTTTGATTAGATTCATTGTTTCAATAAAAGATGAACCACTATTATTTAGAGTTTAACCCCCCCCCCCCCAATCAGACATGCTGAAAAAGCATTGTGAAATGATTTGCTTTCTACAGCTGGGTTCAAGAATTAAATGTTGGTTTTAGATTTCCGCTATTTTACTTATTAACCCTGGAAGTATTTCTACTGAAAGTCAGATAATTAAGAGATTGGTTTCTGTGCTCTGGAGTCGTGGCCGTGCCAGAGAGCCGCTTGTGGGGGTCAACTGGTGACCTCGGTAGGGCGTGAAGGACGGACCGGGACGCCCCCCTTCCCATGAGGTTTTAGTCGTCCCCCACACCCCTGGCTCATACCTGCTGTCCACAAGGCTCCCATGCGGCCGCCATAGTATATAACTATTAATTGAACTATGAACTATGAACAATTGGATTTTCCAAATTTTTTTAATTAAGATATTGTCTATTCCAAGAACCAAACTATAACACATTGTATTTAGAATCTTACATTTTAATACTAGTTTTCTACTTAAATTTTTAAAGTGTTACTCTAGTTTTAAGTATAAAAATAGACTAGAGAGAGATTGAACAAAGCATCAAGGTCAACTGGAGAACTATTACTGCAATTTGAAAAATAATAATACTTAATAACAGACATTTAGACAAACACTGTGGCTAAGAAACACATAGTACACTAACAAAGATGATCAGTGTACTAACTAAAGAAATAATAGACATATTGTCTAGAGCCAAATGGAGTCTTCTTTTGATATACTGAATAGAATATAAGAGAAACTAAGGAGTTAAGTATAGGATTCTAAATATTTATCTTTGAATAATTGGTTGCATAGAGTTCCCAAGAACAAAGATAAGAAAGGATGGCATAGGTCTGAGAAAAAAAGAGAGATTCAGTTAAATATCAGACTTTAAGAAGTCTTTAAATAAACAAATAAAGAGATCTGAGTTAGGAAACGGGGTGGGGGGAGGGTAGAAATAAAACTTTGCAAGTTGTCCAGAATTCAGATAAATTTAAAGTCATAATTACAATTATGCTTTATGATATCAACAAAAGAAGGTACAGTCAGAGGAAACAATGACAGCCTTAGAGCACTCCAGTAAAATATCAGGAAAAACAGAAACAAATAAATAGACTGAGAAGGAGCAACCAATAAAGAAAAACAAGATTGTGATAGATATTCTGGAACTGGAGAGATAATACATCAGGTAAGATACTTTCCTTACAGACCCTCTACCCAGGTTTGATCCCTGACATCCCATATGGTCCCCAAAGCATTACCAGGAGTAATCCCTGAGCACAAAGCCAGGAGTAACTTATAAGCATCACCATATGTGACTCCCTCCACAAAGAAGAGAGTGATGTTCTCAAAATCATGCAAGGAAACACTGTGGAGATGGGAGTGATCAACTGTGTTAAAGGCTGCTGATATGAGAAATTACAATAAAGGCAGAAAAAATCCACAGCTGGAGACACTGGTGATTCACAAAAGTATCTTGGGGGAAGCAACAGTCTCATTGGACAGAACTTGAGAAAAAAAAATGAAAGGAATTGTGATTGAGAGCATAAAGAATAAATCCTGCTGAGAGGATTTTTGTTTAAAGCAAGAGCAAGTAAGTAGAGTTGAAGTGAACAAGGTTAAAGAGAAGCATTTTAAAGTGAAAGCAGCGACAGGCAGGAACAGCGACAGGCAGGTTGAACAAAATTTTTTTTGAGGGGGGGTCACACCTGGCGGTGCACAGGAGTTACTCCTGGCTCTGCACTCAGGAGTTACTCCTGGCAGTGCTCAGGGGAAAATATGGGATGCTGGGAATAGAACCCGGGTTGTCCGCGTGCAAGACAAATGCCCTACCCGCTGTGCTATTTCTCCAGCCCAGGTTGAACAAAATTTAATATCAATGCCACAGGAAATAAAAAGTGGGCGGGAGAGAATACACAAACAATAAAATAACAACAATAACAAAGTCAGTGTCTACGAAAGTTAGGGGTGGATCAGGGAAAACAGCAGTTAAGTAAAATCACTACCCCTTAACATGAGATTATCCTTGAAGGGAAATAAAGGAAAATGAATAAATAAAACATCACCACTATCAAAACAAGATATTGAGTTTTTAAAAAAGACAGGAAAGTGGTCTAGTTGTAGAGAAGCAATGCTAATTTAAATTTGAATCTTTCATTGAGGGTCTAGCAGACAAGTCTGTCACTCTTCAGTCATTCTCTCTCCTCTCAATGGGTTAATTTAGTGAAACAGAAAGCCAAGCTCAAAACGTTTACTGAGTGCCTACTGTATGCCAAATACATGACCAGATGATTATTTATATTAAACTGATTTCATCCATAAAACACTGGGGAAGTCTGTGCATGCTCTCCATAGAAAAATACATTCACTATTTTCTTAAGTTCAGTTATAGAGAAGCTATGTAACCAAAGATGAAGTCTCTTCTTGCAAGATTGATCAAATTTAAGCAAAGGAATTACACTCATAGTTTTAGTAAGAAAATACTCCAAGATGGCTTGAAATGAAAACAGCAAGGTAAACAGAAAGGAGACCTTTGAAATAGTGATGCAAGATATTGTATACTTAGTTAACTATCAAAGAAAAACAAAATAGGGTTTATGTATTACTTGAGAGATTTTATTACATGTCTGATTTAATTCATTTGCTGTTATTGTTATATGTTCATTATACATATATTATCTATTGCACTTGTATACATCAATGGCTAATTTAAAAAAAATCACTGAAAGCTTTTTTTTTTACCATTTTGAAGTACCCAGAAACAGCTTAAAATTAACTATAGTCCAAGAGTATAGCAACTTAATTAGATGATTAGATTTGCGGAAGTGATAGCACAGTGAGTAGGGCATTTGCCTTTCATGCAGCCGACCCAGTCCACCCGAACTCGATTCCTCCGCCCCTCTCAGAGAGCATGGCAAGCTACCGAGAGTATCTCGCCCACACAGCAAAGCCTGGCAAGCTACCTGCGACGTATTTGATATGCCAAACACAGTAACAAGTCTCACAATGTTACTGGGCCCGCTAGAGCAAATCATTGAACAACGGGAGGACAATGACAGTGACAGTGACAGTGACAGATTTGGGGGCTGTGCTCTGGCTTACTCCTGGCTCTGGTGATTGGGATGGAACAAGGTCATCCCTGTGGTGGGTAAGTCATCTGAATTTTCTCTCTGACCCTCAACTGTGATCTTTAATACCCTCAGTATCCTGCCAGTATTCACAACTTCCTACAGAAGGAATACTACAAAATACCTCCTTCCTAAATATTCACAAAAGTCCAGACCACCTTCAGAATATTTACTGCTTTTGAAGCAAAGCTTTATGAGATGCACAACACAATTCCCAGAAAACTAAACCTTGTTTGTTAAATTTGAAAGGTGAGACTTAGAAGATACTTGAACGGTGAGACTTAAAAGATACAATGTAAAGCAATTACAAGAGAGGAAGCATTAAACAATTTTTAATAAGAGAAGTGTACTCTCAAGGACGATATAGTTCAGTTAAAGGCTTGTATGTGGTGGACCTGGGTTGATCCTTAGCACCTCAAGTGATCCCCAGAGCCTGCCAAAGTGATCCCTGAGTGCAAACAGGAGTCAGTCCTAAGCACTGGTAGATAACAGTAACAACAAAAAGAGGCTATGCTACATAATTTTTATGCATTTACCTCTTGACCCTACAAATCAAAAGCACAGTTATAGTTTTAAAAGAGAAAAGGGTAGCTGCAAACAACAGCATTCCAGATAGGAAAAACCCAAATGCTTCTTGAATGTGTTGCTGTAAACAGGTAATGGTCTCATTAGCGATCTAGGAGGTCATAGAAATCAACATTTCATGCATTTCCTTTGGTCTTTTCATCTAAGAACCCTCCACTGTAGAGAGAAAAACCAAAACAGACATGGGAACAAATGCAACACCTCTGACTTCTGAGCGATTCCAGCTACTGTAGAAACTGAGAGTGCCCAAGTGCCTGCCTATGTAGAAATGGGAATACAAAAATGAGCGAAATCCCCAACTGTGAGATTAATAAAATTGAAGGAAGCTAAATAATCACGCCAGTGAAAGACCTGAGAGGTGTGTATGGAGCACATGCCTTGCATGTGGGGACATGACTGCAATTCCGGGCACCCTCCATCCACCCGGAGCACTTACTGCCAAAGATCACCTGGTGTGGCTGTGGGTGCCCCTGAGCCTCGCTAGAATGGGGGGAGTACAAGATGTAATTTTTTTTCAAATGTAGGAGTAGTTATTTATTCAGCCATTGCTTAAGCTGATTGAATTGGGCATGAATTCCACAAGGACGCAAATATTTTAAAATATTTTAAAAACTTAATGAAAAATGAATTAGCCAGTGGATAACATCTAAGCAACTTAGTCCATCACTGCACTATAACAGGCTACTTGGTAAGATTAATCACCACCCCCCTCAAAGTTAAGTTCCTGACCCCCATGAATATTGAAGGGTTCAGTCTCATTCGGATCCTAATCAATGGCTGACAAAATATGGTGGGCGAGATGGACCGCAAAGCTCTAACAGCCTACACAGCACAAGCCTCCAAGCATAGGAGTACACCTAATGCCACAAACATTTCGGAACATTTCAAAGGCACTCGAGAGAATTTCTCCAGGCGCCAAAAAAGACATTAAAAAAAAAAAAAAGAGGCCCTTGATCCTGTAGTCCCTCCCCGGCAACCTGCCAACTGAAGACCCAGGAGCTTAGAAATGGGGAAGGGTAAATAAGGAATACGACCCGAGAAAAGGGCCCACTAACAGCGAAATTCTAGAGAGAAATAAAAGGTTACTTTTAAAGAGAGAGAGAAAACGAGAGGAAAAGGAAAAGACAGTTGAATACTATCATTTAAAGAACAACCCCCACTTCCGGACCCTACCTCGCAGCCACTCCACTTCCGGTCTCCTCCAAAAGGCGCGCTTCCCCGGCAAACGAGCCTCAGCCAATGACAGCGAGATCTACTTCCGCAGGTCGCAGGACGTCATGGGAGTCCCGCCTTTTCCGGTAGAGAGAAGCCTATCCCAGCGCCTGACTGACACGCCCCAGAAGGCGGGGCCTTGACGGGCCCAACCGGACGGCGGGAGGGAGCCGGAGGGGCGGGCGGGGCGTGAACGCCTTTTCCGCCTTGGGCCCGGAAGGGTGATGTGGCTGAGGCTCCGCCGGCCTCACTATGGTAAGAGAGGGGCTGTGGGGTCGCGGCTGCTGTTTCCGAAAAGGCAGGGGAACCAAACTAGGGCTGCAATAGTGGGCGGCAGCATGACGAGCGCGAGCCCCGGCAGCCCTGTGTCCACTTGGGTTCCCCCGGGGGTCGTGGGCTGCGGGCCCGGGGTCTTTGGGTTCCTGTGCCCCCAGCCTGGGAGGACGTGAAACATGCCCCCACCGAAAGACCCCAGGGTCGCGGAGCCCGGCCCTTGGTGCTTAGGCCACTTTTCCAATGTATGTCGAGGAAATGATTTGATTTGACTTAACCTTGTCGACTCTAGAGACTCTACGTGGCTGTTGGGGGCGGCGGAGCTTGTTGGAATCTCGGCTTGTTTGGTCTTTGCGGCACGTCTCCCTGTGTGCGTTACCCCCAGGGTTTTATTTGTCTTTGTTTTAATTCCCGAACTCCACGCTTCCATTTCCACCTGTTCAATCAGCCTTTGGAGGCCCTTATTTCTCTCGACCTCAAAGGGGCTTCTTTGCATGTTGCTGATAAAATACCAAGAAGGCAAAACGATCACCCTAGCCACTAGGGTTCTTGTGCAGAGGTGGTCTTTGTCTTCTGGAAAATATTTGGAGTGGTATCATGGCCTCCTTCGTCTCCACCTCCCTTAAGTTTGTGCCTTTCTTAGAGAAAACCTTGCAGTGAAAAGTCACAAACATTCTCGAGAGAAATAATTCCGTCTCCTAGCTAAGAAAATCAGAGGAGCCAGGGGACTTGTGAAAATAGTAACAGGGCTTGTACTGATGGTTTTTTTTTTTTTATAAAACACTATCAAAGCTATTCTTAAGGCCATTTCGCTCTATTTTTGGTAAATTCAAAAGTAAACCAGATCTCATGCTGAATTTATGAACTTCATTTGCCAAACATTACCATTTTAAGCATATATTTGAGAGTTGCTTACAAGGCAGGTATTCTATTCAGTGAATATGACCTGGGTCTAAGTATTTCATCTTTCGTGAAATGTTTCTGGAGTTGCTGAAGAATCCCCTCTGGCATAGAACTTTTAAGTATTTATTCTAAAACTCATTCATTGCTGCTTGCTTGATGCCAACAATTTTGACTCTAGTTGGCGCATTAATCACAGCCTCTTCCATAGAGTTTATCATCTGGAGGAGTGGCAGGTAATTCTGTCCCTGGCCACAGAGATTCTCCGGATTTTTGTATCTGGTAGAATAGGACCAATACCTTTAGTCTGATTGTAATGAATAGCTGTTAATTTAGACAGCTCTATTCCTTTTTCAATTAAAAAAGTAAAGAATGGTTTTTATGTCTGCATGGAAGCTATTTCAAATCCAAGATATATTTCTATTTCACCATGGTATTATCTTAATATTTTGTTTTTGTGGGGGTTTTTGTTTGGTTGGTTGGCTGGTTTTTGGTTTGGGGGTTACCCCTGCAGAGTAAGGGCTTATTCCTGGCTCTACACTCAAGAATCACTTCTGAGATGCTGAGAATTGAACCCAGGAATGGCCACATGCAAGGCAAGTGTCCTACCTGCTGAACTCTCTCCAGCTCCTTAATACACTATTTTTACGTCTAGATGCCAGAAGTCTTTATGCTGTTAATCAAAATTAAGTGAAGGTAAAATATGGTATAGTGATTTCTTGCTCTTGGTATGATATGCTAGTCAACCAAACTGAGTAATGAAACAACTGCCAGGCAACTAGTGTTTCATTTCTGTTCCATTCCTGTAATCCTAGTTTATTAGCATTTTAAAGAAACTAAATGGTATTTGAAAGAGCTATGGGGCAGCTTTCTTTTTGTTTCTAAGCACCTAAATTTGACAAGTGAGGTAATGCAATGATCACTGTCACTCAAGGTCTTAATTTGATTTATCATGTTGTTAATGAATCACCTAAAATATGATCAGCTAAGTGGTTTGGAGAAATAGTAAAGCAGGTCTGTCCGTCCCCCCTCCCCCACATTCTCCCTAAAAGCTAATCACTGTATATAATCATCAAAACATAACAGTCTGATAATTATATTACTTATGGGTGGATACTTTTAGAAAACCTTGAAAATATGTTGATCTCCTTGATTCTTAATAAGTTCTTCAAAATTCATTTTAGTTCATTTCTTTCCAGTAAGACCTCCCTTTTATTTTCTAATACTTCTTTATAGTACCCATCTGAGCATCCTTAGTTGTTATGTGTAGTTACCTCTGGTGTAGCATTTCTCATGATTTCATATATTGTGCTGAAGATTAAGTGATTTCACTTAAGTGATTGTTAGTCTGCTGTTATTTAGAAGGATATGTAAAGTGAATGGAAAGAGGGCCTCTAAGACTGCTAATTGAGTTCTGAAAAATTACCAGCTCCCACACAGTAGAGATACCATTTTTTCCTCTGTTGATATTTAATGGCTTACAAATATTCTCATTTAATGCTCACAACTCTTGGTAATCATTGCCCTCATTGTATGTAAACTGAGTGTCCAAAAAGATATGAAATAATTTTACTTTTTTATACCAGAGATGATTAGGAAATGTTAAGAGCACAGGGATTAATTCTCATTGATAACATTTGACTCATTTCTTTGGATTTGAATTTGGGGGCTATGATCCATTGTGCTCGGGACTTACTCCTGACTCTGTTCTCAAGGATCATTCCTAGTAAAGCTCAGGGGACTGTTGTGGAACTAGTAATCAAACCTGGGTCAATCGAATGTAAGCCTTACCTGCCTACTGTCACTGTTTTATTTTGGGGTTTTTTTTTGGGGGGGGGTCATACCCGGCGATGCACAGGAGTTACTCCTGGTTTTGCACTCAGGAATTACTCCTGGCATTGCTTGGGGGACCATATGGGATGCTGGGAATCTAACCCAGGTCGGCCGCATGCAAGGCAAACGCCCTACCCACTGTACTAGCACTCCAGCCCCCCTGTTGCTGTTTTTACTCCAACTTTTATTGAGACATGCGATTTGCAATATTGTAAATTATAGAAGTTTCTGCATACATCTTTCCAACACCAAGCCCATCACTAGAGTGTCTGATTCCTTCCACACTTATCCCAAGGACCTTCCCTCAATTCTGGTCTACAAAATTGATTCCTGACTTGTTTCTTAAAGATGAGCAGAGAACAGAAAAGTAGTCATTAGCTAGACTGGGATAGCTTCAGTATTCTTTAGGTGGACAAAAGAAATAGCAATTAGGCGGACAAAAGGCATGATATTGAATAGTTGGTTGGAAAGTTTGGCTTGAATAGAAATAGAGTATACTAGAAATGGATGAGACTAGAAAATCTGAAATCATATCTTGAAGGGTTTATGATATACCAAGGACTTTGTATTTAGATATGTTTTATTTCCTACTTGATAAAGGATTTTGTTTGTTTGGGGCTTTTTGCTTTTTTGTTGTTATCGTTTGTTTTTGTATTGATTTTGGTTTGAGGGCCACAGCAAGCTGTTCTCTGAAACTACTCCTGCCTCTGTGCTCTGGGCTAAGTCATCATGATGCTTGGGGCACTGTATGTAGTGGATCAAACCAGAGTCCATTTCAAGCACCTTATTCTCTATTGTATCCATTTGTGTGTTTTTGATAGTATATTTGAACAGGGAAACAATGCCTTGATTTTATAAAGCTGCTAATATAGAAAATATGTTTAAAATGAAGATTATGTCTGAGACCAGTTAAGAAACAATTATAGCATTCTTAGTAGTAGAAGATTGAAAGATTGAATTCCTCAACTTTTGACAATAATTGGCTTTAATGAAAAGGACATACAGGAAAAGTATTTTGGAAGTAATTACTGAAGAGTGATTGGCCTGTTAAATACTGGTTAAGCATCAGGTCCTTTCACAGTGTCTTTTATTAAATACTTGCATTACTGGCTACATCGGACATGTAAAGAAATATGTATAGGATTTAATTGCGTTGCCCAAGCTTAACAGTTGTTAACAGATTTTATGTCCTTTTCTTAATACAACAATTCCATTAATTCCATAGAAAGCTCAAGAGGAAAAACAAGATTTGTTTGCACTGGATGGATGGCAGTGAAAATTTATTAATGTAATGATAAAGCTGCTGCTATTGTTACTTTTGTAAATGTGATCAAGGAGAAATACAAGTATCTTCATAATAGTATAAAAATAGTTTTGACTACATAAACACGTGAAAGAATTCCATAAACTATACTTTAAAAACTATTGCACTAGACTATAATCATCTAGTATGTATGCTGACTTTCTGGAATAAGGTTTTTTTTTTTCTTTTTTTTTTTCTTTTTGGGTCATACCCGGTGATGCACAGGGGTTACTCCTGGCTCTACACTCAGGAATTACCCCTGGTGGTGCTCAGGGGACCATATGGGATGCTAGGAATCGAACCCGGGTCAGCTGCATGCAAGGCAAATGCCCTACCTGCTGTGCTATTGCTCCAGCCCGCTGGAAAAGGGTTTATAATGCTAACTGCATAAAAACTTTAGGGAACTGTGAAACTCTATAGCTATTCAGCCAGTTGAGTCCTCCTTTCTGGACATTAATTTGTATTCCAGGTTTCAAGTGATTTATCTGTTTAATTTCATTTATAAGATGAACAATGGCAAGGTGGAGACTGAACTACCTACTTAATCTCACTGATCTAGTTTCAAGAAAAGTGAGACTTGACTTCCCAATTTATTATTATGTTTATGGGGAGGGGTGGTGGACTATACCTGCAGTGCTCAGGGCATACTCCTGGCTCTGTGCTCAGTTATCACTAATGTGCTAATAATGGACAAAAGAAAATTCTAATTTTTTTGTGCTAGTGGATATCTTTTCATTATCTCTCATGTAGGGACAATGGGGTTTTTGTGTATGAGTATGTGCATTTACACATTTACCTAGATTTTTTTCTTCTTTTAAGAGATAATATAGTGATATAGTTATAACATTATTTATATGAAAGTGCAATTGTGAACAAGTAGAAGCTAGTTGGAAAATGCTGACCTGACCTAGATTTGTAAATGATAAAAATGCTGACCCACTTTTCA